CCCGGCCCCCGCCCCCCTTCGGGGGGGGAACAAAACCCCCATGGGGAAAACCCCCCCCCCCACCACTGCCCAGGCAGCAAATAACCCCCCAGGAGAGAAATAACCCCTGGGAGGGCTGGACGGGGGGGGGGGAGGGGGGGGGGGCAAGGGGTGGGAGGCAGCAGAAGGATGGGGGGGATGAGGGATGCAGGATCAGGACACAGGCTGCAGATCTGGGATGCAGGATGGACAATGAGGGATGCAGGAGGGAGGATACGGGATGCGGTAGGATGGGTGAGGGATGTGGGATGCAGGATGCAGGCTGAGGGATGTGGGATGAGCACGGCCTCCCGTTGCTACGGCGACAGCGGATGGAGCAGCGCAGGAGGGTCCCTGGTCCTTCCCAAGCACCCACCAGACACAGGGCCGGGGGGGGGGTTCAGCACTGTGGGATACAGCGGGGTGAGGATGTAAGCCGGGGGCTCCTGCGCCTGCGGAGGAACACGTCCCCACCCCGCCCCCCAGCCCCCAAACCTCTCGGCGCTGACCGAACTGCTCAGAGTCAGGAGTGTCCCACCCCGCTCAGCTGGCGGTGGGTGCTGCTTGAGCCCCCTCCCACAGGGCTGCCCACGGGGTGTCCCCACCCTGCGCGATGCCGGGGTGCTCCGGCCGCCCGCCCCACGGTGCTGTGTCATGCTGCAGCAGGTCAGGACTGGCGGGGACATTTGGCTGCTGGACACCCCAGGCAGTACATGGCAGCAGACTCATTGGATGAGGCAGAGGGAAACTGAGGCACGAAGCCATCCCCCCCCACCCACCCCCAGGACCCCCATCCCCACAGCTCTGTGGTGACAGCTTTGATTTGCAGGGGGTGGGATGCTGCTGGGGCAGGGAGCAGCTGGAAGAGCCTGGGGGCTGCTGCAGCCCCTCAGCAGGGCGGTGGCCAGTCTGTGCCCCCCCCCCCAGCTCCAGGGGGGGCTGTCAGTGCAGTTGCAGGGCTGGGACACCCCACAGCACCAGCTCGCCCACCAGCCTCAGCCCAGCTCCTGCCATTCTCCTGCCCTGGCCAGGGGAGCCTGGGGAGGGGCAGGGGGTTGATGGAGGGGGAGTGTCTGAGCTCTGGACCCCCCCCGGGTCCCCTGGCAGGGACGGCCGAGCGCAGCGGCCGCAGCAGCGCTGGGCATCTGCAGCCTGTGGGGAGGGGCTGGCGCGGCTGCACCTGCATTTGCGAAGCGTCTAGACACAACGGGGAAGGGGGGGCCAGGGCTGCGGGAAGCGGGGGGCCAGGGCTGCAGCTACGTTCTCGCAGCCCACGCTCTGGCACCGTGACGGTCACTGTCCCACGGGACCCAGTGGTCCCCCCGCTACGGGCTGTTGGGGGCTCTGCGGTGCGTGGCCGGGTGTCAGGCAGGGCCCGTGGGCTGCCGTGGGCACACCCTGGGGGGATGCGATGGCTCGGGGTCCTGGGGACCCGACTCTTCCGACACCCAAGAGCTGCCCCTCTCTGCTCAGGGCACCCCAGCACTGGCCAAGGCCACTGGTGGGGCCTGGATCCACCCGGCAAGGTGCTGGCGGGGCAGATGCTGCAGCAGATCAGCGGGTGGAGAAGCAGCATCTGCGCTGCCCACCGCACCGCGCTGCCCACCGCACCCACCGCCGCTCCCCGCTGCGCTGCCCTGTCCTCCCCTGCACGGCCCAAACCGCTGCATCAGCCTTTTGCACCGCATTGCCCACCGCACCGTACCGCCTCGGCCTGGGCAGAGCAGGGCAGGGCTGGGGGGTCCCCTGCGCCCCATGCACCCCATGCCCCCCCCCCCGCACCCCTCGGCTCCTTCCAGCCCGGCGGCTGCACTGGGGATGGGGACAGGGATGGGGACAGGGACCGCGGTGGTCCCCAGCACTGCAGCATCAGCCGAGCGCAGCCGCCTCCGACAGAAGCCACATCTGAGCCCCCGACCGGCTGCGGCCCCCGGAGCCCCCGGGGACGTTAAACAAACAGCGTGTTGTCGCCAGCTCCTGCTGATCGACCCGGCCCCGGGGACCCCCGACCACAGCAAACCCCCCCCAGGGAGCACCAGGCTGGCCCCAGGCACACAGCCCCCCTGCACGGCTGCTGGGCGGCACGGGCATGTGTGGGGCACACGCAGGGACATACATGGGGGAACATGTATGGACATACATGGGGGCACACGCAGGGACATACATGGGGGAACATGCAGGGACATACATGGGGGCACACGCAAGGACGCTGGCACAGGGGACCTGCTCCCTCCCCACACTCAGCATCCGACCCCCCTGCAGCACCCATGTCCCTCCCACGCCCCCGCACAGCGGCTGCTCCCACGCACACGCACATGTGCACACACATGCACACGCGCACGTATGCTGCGTGCACACGCACGTCACGGCCCTTAGACAAATGTAGGGCCCTGGCAGGGCGAGTGCTGGGGTCCCCTGTGCCCCCAGCAGAGACACCCCCATGCAGGGACCCCCCCC